TATATAAAATGAAGGGTATATACAGAGAGATGAGTAATAGGGATATAACCAATTAAATCCACCTCTCTAGGGTTACCAGAGGTCTGTGGCAAGGGTATAAAATAGCTAATAATTGGAAATTAAGCATGACACATTAACTCCACAGGATACAAATATGAGAACTAACAGAAAAAGTAGCAATCTCCACCTATGTGTTTGTAAGCCCTCATGGAATTATATATGACCCTGGCTACAACAGAGCCTAGTGTAATCATCCAGAGGCAAAAGTCAAAACACAAAGGAATAATGAGAGATATGCTAATCAGTGAGAAATAAGCACAGGAAAAAAATATATAAAGTGAAGGGTATAAATACGAGGAGATAAGTGATAGGGATATATACAAATGACTCGACCTCTCTATAAATACTAGAGGTATCTGGTAAAGGTGTCCCTAGTCTCTAGACCCTAAATCTCCTGTAAACACCTTTGTGGGTGTTCTATGCTTATACTGTGTCTAGGGTAATTTCCTTAAGTTCTCAATCACTGCCTATGTACTAAAGACAAAAAAAAATTCTGAAAATAAATAAAGTGATAAAGGTGCTGTGGCGGAACCAACCTCGCCACTATGCACTGGCGGAACCCTGGTTGCCAGCCTCCTGCCATGTGACTATGGCCCCTGGGATGTATTGCCCTTTAAAGATATGATTTGGGCATAATGGATTTGTGTTGTGCTGCTGCTGGCCCTTTAAGAACCATCTGGGGACATACTGTGGAGTTACTGGGTGGCCACCATTTCATGTATCAGAGGCACATGGTGAGAACAATGGATGAAGCACATGGTGAGAACAATGGATGGCGGCCATTTTAACTCACAGACACTGTTTAGACTTTTCAACACGGTGCCATCTCGCCAGTATTTGGTGCACAGAGACATCGTGCACTGGTTTTGGACTATACAGCAGGGGACACATTATACAGTGATTGTTTTTCATTTAGCCTGTGTATGTTCTGCAGAATCTGCATTAAACTGTATCTTCCAAAGTACTGAACGGATCTGGGTGAATTTTGGATATGTGGTTCACCCAGATCCCCCGGTTCCAAGGATATACTATATTACTATATTTTTATGGGGTTATTGCATGTTTTGGGGTCCCTGTGATGTGTTTTATGAAACTGTATTTCTCTGTCTGTGATAATTAGATTACCCATTGTGTAAGGTAATTGTATCACAGGCAGTGGGGAGGATTTTGTGTGGGAGTGTCTGTGTGTATTGTACGTGTTATTGGTTGTTCTGTAAAACTCTGTGGGTAGTACTAAGTTTGTGGATTGGGAATAAAAGAGCCTGTATGTGCCAGTCCAGTCAGTTCCTGCTTAACCCTCAAAGTGAAGTGTCGTCTCATTATAGGGGGAGGATTTATTGTATGCTGTTCCAGTTTGACTGCTAGGAGTGTAAACCTATTTGCATGGTTTGTCCTATTCAGCTGTATACAACATTCATATGCTTGAGAGCATTTGTATGCTTCTCCGGTTCGGTGGTTGTGGTGTCTGCTGCAGTGCTTGGAGTCCTCAGGAAGCGCTAGGAATATCCTTCAACGGGGGTACACAGTCGGGGTGCCAGGTGATCTGTTACAGGTGTGTGCATAGGGATAAGGTGCTCCACAACGGAGAGAACCGTGAAAAAAAAAGTTTGCCCCTGAGGATGGCAAAAATGTATTATCACGCCGAAATCCACATTGTTTTTTTTTCA